CAAAAAAATTCAGAAATTCCGAGTGAAGCAAAAAAGATATGCTCAAAGACGTCTTTAAACATAAACCTTGAATGTCCAACGATTTCTTGTTACCCGAGTATTTCCTAAAGGTTCAGAAAAAATAGTCATTTGTTCTACAAATGTTTTTAGTGAGGATCGAAAATAATTCAACAAGCTTTCAAAGATATCTTTATATATTGTTTTTGCAGTTGAACAAAAAAATTGATGCAGTCAAAATTAGTGCTTCCGTGTGCTGAAAAGCATCTTGCATAATTAAAAGGTGTCTAAATGAGTTGAGAATATTGTTATTGTAACGTCACTTTTATTATCACTACAGGAACTTAACTTCTCCTATTGGTTGTAATTGACTAATAAACAAATTCATAAAATTTACAACTCAGTAGTTGGTTCCAAGTTTCACTTATTTGAATTCCATCACGGGAAAGCAAGCGATGCTCCGTTTTTTCCAACAAATTAAATGCGAAACTTTTTAACAATAAATTAGAACAAATAAGATTATACGAACCATTATGTTCACGCTTTGAAGGAGAATTGGTATGATAGAACTAAGCTAACTTTGACAAATACTTTAATGATCTGTTTTATGAATAGAGATTCGTTAAATTATTACCGATAGAGTAAGCTCAATTATTGCTATTTCATTCAAAATAATTTGAAATACGTATTGAGTTACGTATTACGTAATGCGATAAAAACAGCTAACGTTAATAATCATCACGGGGCTTGCACTACGCGCAAACAAAAGCGAAATAGATATATCGATATTCATATTATGGAGATCTCCCACTCAAGCATTTGTGTCTTCTCTGCGGATTTTTTTTGCAAATGATTTTGATATTATTCTCAAATTTTTTACATCTTCTTTTCAAGTTCGCAAGTATCAAAAGATGAATTCGTAAATGAATATTATTAAATGAATTTAAAGCATATAATATATCGATAATATAACACAAACCCTAACGTAACGTTAAACATTTACCATTTAAATAATCTAAAACTAAATTTACATTTCATAGACGCAATAACAATAGTGAGTATAAATAAATGTTTTCTCAGAAATATAGTGTAAAAGTCCGATATAATGAAGAGTTTTCGGAAAAGCTCTATAAAGCCATACGTATCCAATAAACCTGTTCTTGCGTAAAACCGGATCTTACCATGTACATTAACGTGAAAGAGCGGAAAAATAATACGCCGTACTCCTATACTGTACAGTTCGCCATTTTCTGTAGCTGCTTTTTTAGTTATAATTTGTATAAACACCGCATTTTAGAGCAGTCTGAATCTATTTTAAAACTTAATTGCGTTAGAAAAAAGCAACATGCTTATACTCAAAAATTGTTCAGTTTTACCGTCTATAAACTCTAATGTAATTTACTTTGAATTACGTAATGATTTCAACACAACTTCGCGTTCTTGATATCGGTTAAATTTATTTTCTTCATGATCCACATGGACTAGTGATATAATGGTCTGTCCAACCAGAATGCTTTTTTATAATATAAATTGTTCCACATTTGTAAATCAAAAGATGCATTAATTACCGCGCATTCTTTTATTAAAAAATCGAAATCTTTGTCTTCAGCTCGCTCGTGATATTCATTAGATCCAAAGCAGTAGTGACTTTTTTGACAAGTATATTACTACAAGAGATGATGTATTATAAGAAGAACCTGTTATAATCATAAAAGACGTTTTTCATGTATTACGTAAAATCGCGATAACGATAACTCCTTTTAACACAAACATGCAAATGGAAGTCAAAATAATAATGACCACAATAAATACCTTTACTTTTTTGTTAATACACCAAATGGGTTAACAAAAAAATCTGCCTGTAAAGGAACCACAAGAGTTCCACATATATAGATATTATTATCTCGTTTATTTGACCATTTCAAAGTTTTAAATAAAATACTGCACATAATCACTAAAGCCATTTTATCATTTCAATAAATTATTTAATTTTTGTACATTCACAGAAAGAGCTATCGCTATTTATTACGTATATATGCACTTGTGATATTTTAGCATGACGAATGACATTCAAGCCACTGTGTTGACATGAATGGAAAGTGCATCATGTGATGATTTTCCAAGAGCTTGATGTCCGACTCAGAGACATCCAGAAATGAATGTTTGTGTAGTTGTTCTTTAAAATTGCTCTTTTCTTAAAAAAAACTATCCGCCATTACTTTCTGTGGAGAATGTAAACAAGGTGGTTTCTATTGTTTATCAACTTGTTTATGTTTACACATATATCGATGTGTATTTATCGTTATATCTATCATTCATTTATTAAATTTGCTTCTTTTTATTAAAGCTACTTCTTTTATATGTATTTAGAGTAATATAACAAAAAGCACAATAAGACTTTCTAGAACCTACATAAGGGATACCAAAAGCCACACAATGGGAATTTAAATGGTTAATTTCATAATAAATGAAACAAAAAATTCTCTTTATATAAATTGTAGCTGTCTGGCTAGAGAATTTTTTGTTTCATTTATAGATTATGAGATCTAACCATTTAAATATCCCATTTGGTTGTATGGCTTCTGGTGTCCCTTACTGTAGCAATTGGTAATATAGTTTATTCAATTACATAATTCATTTATCATTGTTTTCGAAATTGTTGTTAACTACTATGGTTTGTTAGCGTTAATCTGATAAACATAATAATGTATTTTAATATGTATCATTGTTTTTCGCAAATAAAGTGTATCAATCCGTTAAGGCTTAGCCTAATGACATGAGCAATATATAATTCACATGTAATTTTTTTCTATTCTATATAGGTCTTGTACTAAATCCGGTTTAAATACGGAAATGATCGAGTGGTTAAGGTGAAGTTTGATGTGGATGACTTAGTCCAATAGTTCAGACAAGTTAAAAGATGTAGACGCGGGGGAATTTACGTGGAACTGGCTACAAAATTATCTGTCACTCAGCCAATAAAGGGATTTATGTTTATCACTTAAAGTACCAAAGCCTCAATTACACGCATTCCGCCGCTTTATACAAGGGCTAATAATAATTTAATTATTCTTTTTAATAATGTTCATAATAATAATAATAATAATAGCAAGCGAATGTGACCAATTATTTTGCCGCTTTTTGTTTCCAATAACACTACTCATTTTGTTATCGTTATAAAAAGAGCTCGTATACAGAATTAAGTTTAGAGATCGATTAAAGTGTGCGTGACTAATAACGAATTTGAGCAAAAGCACCAGGATATTTAATTGATTTATCAGACCTTTATCTCTTCGATGTATAGTAATACACATTAAGAAAAATAAATCACAACAGGAATTTAAAAGAAAAAGATAGAATACAACAGAAATTTAAAATGATATAACAGAGATTGTGTAGAATTATAATCCTTTGATTATCTATCAAAATATATAAAATTATGGCGATCGATATGGTCATAACATCTAAAGTTACCAAACATTTGCATTTTATAAAATGGATAAACTTCTTTACTAAGAAGTAAATACAAAATTTAATTCGCGAATATGTTCAGAAAGGGCTTATTATATCATAGTCACGGATTAAATTTGGTTATTTACTTCTTAGTAAAGAAGTTTAAAATGCAAACATTTGATGACTTTAGATGTTATGCATCATACAAATAAATTTGTTTATCACATCGTGAGTGCATCATTTTCATCATTAGATCGTACTCTGTTGATCTTATTGGTTAAATTTTTCTCGATCAATTTATTTTTAGCCGCTCATCTTGGTATAATAAGTAAAACCACAATTTTTATCAAGGTGAATTCAAGTACTTCAAAATTTGATATATATCAAATTCGTAGTATGACAACCATACTGACACTTGCATTTCAGGCGAAGCATCCCCTGTTGGTCGGGTGCTCTGAGCAACTCACCTTCATGCTATCAAGAGCCTGAAGGAGATAGCGTTGGGATCTTCGTGAGCAATGAAAAAATTCGATGTGCATGTGCGCTCCGCACATAATAAATTTTTTCGCGCACAAAAAAATACTGATGTGCGCAAAACGCACACAAATTTCAAAAATAATGTGCGGTAAGTGCACATGAGGCTCAAGTATCAATGATCAAATCGATGGGTACAGTTCCAACCTTTGCTTCACACCAAGCAGAAGTGGTCCTAATCTTTTGTCCAACCGTTCCGGTGGTTTTTCTCATTTTTTTTGGTATAGCACTAATAATATTTAAATGTTGTGCATTATATAATATATTATTTCTACAATAAAACCATCACTTAGATTTTTACTAGCGCTCCGAAATGGTTAAAGAAACTGGGTAACCTAACCCTAAAATCCTGAACCTGAAAACTCATTACACGATCCAGTTCAGATAGTATTGTAAATACAAGTATTAAATCAATTGCTTAGCATTAGATATAGATTCTGACAATATAAATTCTGGTAAATTTTAATTAATTAATAATAAACTTGGGTTTTGCTTAGGTCAAATTAGGGTCAACTCCAAACCTAACCTGATTGACCCTTTTGGAACAATAATTTTACAATTTATGATACGGCATAGATCTAACAGTCAGTTATGTAAATATGTAATTAAAAAATATAATCATAAGTTCATATTTTATAGATAATAACACACATATTATATCCCGAAACATGTGTGGCGAACGCACATTAAATTTTAAATTAGGTGCGCAAAATCGCACCTAATTTCAAACCTGAATTTTTCCACTGTTTGCGAGACTTTTGTGTTTTTTACAGTAGGGATCGACAGTTAAATTTGTCAAATACTGTACGTACATGTACACCGATGGTGAATAACATGCTTCATTATTGTTACAGTATCAATAGTTATTTATTATTAATACGAATGTACGAACAACAAGAAAGTATAATTTTTCAAAAAAATACTGTACTGTATATCAAAGACTATGAAATAAATTTACACATCTATTAAAAAAGGAATGTTCAATAGGAATTACAATTCAAGTCTTATAATGTACAATGTCTTCTTGGATATTTTTAATCTGCAACATTGAAGCCGACAATAGTTTCTACGTTTTAGAGTAGTATGGACTTGTGTAATTATCTAATTTACATGAAATATTCTTGATCTTTCTGCAAATATTCTATCGCTATCATACATATAACCATCTAATTAAAATTCAAAACTCACCAGTGATACTCGGGAAATAATATTTTTAATATTAAGTAAGAGCAAAAAATTAATAGAAGAAAAAGAATACTTTATCAGTAATAAACAAATAAAAAATGATTACATGTGGCTTTCAAAAAAGGGCTCAAAAAAGACTTATCATAATATTTTAAGCTGTAAGCAGACCAAAGTGATCGATCAAGTTATTACTTTTTATTTTTTAGATGCACTGCTCCGGGTAAAGGTGCGTTACCACGCACGAAAGTGGGTGGATGCATTACCACGGTGGTGATATTTTTTATGATATTTAGATTCACTGCTTTAAGTAAAGGTGCATCACTACGAAGGTGGATACACTACCACAAAGGTGGATACGCTATCACGTGAGGTGATTACTTATTTTTTTTAGATAATTTTAGATGTACTACCCGAAGTCTTACAAGCGAGTAAAGTTAAGAAAGAATAACGGACAAAATCAACAGAAAAACAACCACATCAGTTTTACTTTAAAAAGAAGAGAAAGTCAGAAAAGAACTATGAAGAAAGGAACAATTCGCACAACATCTCTCAGCACTGGAGTGTGAACCTTATAAGAAAAATACACTGTAAATTTCAATATATGCCTGTAAAAAAAATACGGAAAAGTCTGAAATGTCTGAAATGTCTGTAAAAGACACATAAATAGTTACTTTTTTACGTGTTTTACATATGTAATTGAATATGTAAAATGTATAAAATGTTAGGACAAACACTTTTATATACGCAATTTAACGTGATTATATGTCTATAAAACATACGTTCAAAGTAAACGTTTATGTATCTTTTACAAATATACCAAATTACGTGTCAAATAGGGGAATAGTACTTAAAGATGGCGTGGCAACTGTTGCAATGTGGTGACAAATAAAGCATCACCTAGTTGCAGCTTATAAAATTTTGGAGTTGCAACGTGTTGCAACGGGTGACAAATAAGCGTCACATACTTGCTGCGCCATCTCTAATAGAACTAGTAAAAAGGAATAGTACTAGCAAGTAAGAAATATCACAGAGGTGACTACCCAAGTGAGAAATGAATAGTGGGATAAGATCAGTAGCAAAACTATCACTAATATTATTTGAAAAGTAAAAAGTTAGAGAAAAAATAACTCGCGAATAGAAAGTGTGGGAAGAAAATACATATAATTCGTAATGTCAACATAGTCAACCAATCAGCATCAAAAATTCATTATTTTGTACATGCATCAGTATTTACTCACGTTAACATGCATTTGTATGTGTCATAGCAATAGAATTTTTAGTCATCCATTTATGGATAAATTGATTTGTTTTTTTTGTTATTGTTACATATGCTTATTTCTTAAAGTTCGTGACAATTCATACAGTGAAACACACCCGTTAATGCAGCAAATGCATAGTGATAGCATTAATAAAAAAATCGATTTACCAATTCAAACGGAAGTAGGGCTCGACTTCCACACATATAAATCATTCTTATTATCAAAGTTTAAAACAACGCATAATCACTAACCACATTATAAAATGAACTCAAAGACGAACTCTAAAATTTCGAATATTCATCATTGTAATAAATGTTTCACCAATGTTGAATATATTGTAAACAGAGGTTGTAAACAGAGGTTTACAGTATAAAGCTTTCTGGTGAAACAGACATTTTATCAAGATCCCATGCAAAAATAAATAATAACGCGAAGTGATGCTGAAATCATTACTTTATAAACGAAGTAAATCTGAAAATTTCTGAGTATAAGCATTTTGCTTTTTTTGTTTCTAACACAAAAAATTTTTCAAATGCAAGGTAATAATATCCCGGCCATGTGAGCGAGATGGGATTCGGAAACTTTAATTTTTTTTAAATTGACAATATCGTTATATTGAAAATTTATTAGAAGTGTTTTTAAATTTTCACCATTATAGTTATATCGAGTTATTATTATCATTAATCAAGTTTCAACTATAATAGTTATTTACAAAAATAAACGAAAAATTCAGAATAAGTTCAGACTTCATATGTCTTTCCACTTCAGACATTTCTTTGAAGCAGTAGTTTCCCTGATTGTAAGAAGGTTGGCAAATGCAACTGGGTTTGGCATGTGTTTTGCATCAGGATTGTGAAATTTTTATTACAGTTAGTAGTCAAATAGAGGAATTAGACTGCTAATTGGTAACTTGGGTGAAAGAAGCGGATTAGACGAATACTACTTTTATAATGATTAGATTTTAAGATCTTGTGTCGATATCGATACTGGTGACTTATTCCATTGGATTTATTTTCTCAACAATGCCCTTTCTGATTTTAACAAGGATTTTCAAATCGTAATCATCTTGATTGCTTCAACAAATAATTGTTCACTTTTTCTGAATTGAAAGTGGAAACTCTACATTACAATTACAATAAAAAAGAATATATTAGTATGAACTGAATATAACTATAAATATTTATAATACTAGATAAAATAACATCACTTATCTATTAAATAATAATAATTGAATTCAGTCACAAAACAATAGATATTTAATAATAAAAATACTATATTAATAATGCAAATTAAAGAACTAATTAATACAATAAAAAAACCTAAATTTAATAAACTGAAACTTTTTTCTGACTACTTATAAAATTTTAGCTAATAAAAAAATACGAAGACTAAATGATATAATTCAATATGTAAGAATATACTACTTGAAGCACTTTCAAAAAAAGTAAGCTAGATATTGTTAGAAATAATAAAATTAAAAAAATAGCAAATAGAGAAAATTGAATCAATAAAATTAATAATAGAAGAAGAAATAATTAATAAAAAGAAGAATTAAAAAGAAAGAAAGAAAAAATTATCCTACTAGTACTAGTATTCAAAATAATATCTACAAATTACAAAATCAACAAGACTAACTTTTAAAAAGAATAATTAATAGCAAACAATTAAAATAATACTTTGAAAAAAAAATATTTCTAAATAATAAATCAAATAATGATAACTATAAATATTAAATATTTTTGATCAATCAGATTTAAATAGATTACAAAGTTATAGGATCATTAAAATTTAATATTATCTTAAGATAATGAAAATTCTTTATATAAATAAGTACAAAAAAATTTATTTAAAAAAAAGAGAGAAAAAAATCAAAAATAAATTATAATAATAATTATTGCAATAGTCATAATTATTATTATGACTAATTTATTTATATATCTTATTAATAAAGTGATTAAATATATTCAACAAGTTTTTAGAACTATAAATGAGCAAAACTTATTAAAAATATTGATATTAATACTAAATAATTTCTAATTTATAAATTTAATAAGAAAACCTATACTTATAAGATAAATCATAATGAATCACAACATAATATTCAAATACAAACTAGAATTAGTAATATAATTATTAAAATTTAATACAATAAACTTTATGAGCATTTTGAATTAGGAAATTATTATTTTAATAAAACAGTAAAATAAAAAGTACAAGTTATTTAAATAGTTAGAAATATTATCAAACAATGAGATCATAATATTAAATAGTTACAAATATATTATCAATTCAGATAACTTTATAAATAAGTATTACAAATCTATAAATAAAGAATATTAATTCTAAAACAAGATATAGAAAGAAAAAGTAATATCAGAATCTTGAATCACTATCTTAAAACTGTTAAATATACTTGGCAATTATTTATCAAAAGAGATATAAACTGATTATAATAAAATATAAAAATAATACTATTTGAAATTGAAAGATTGAAGAATAATAAATTTTTTAAAGTATTAAACAGTATCTAAACTTCACAAGAGCTTAGTCTTTCAAAAAAGAAAATAATATTGTTATAACAATACAAAATTCTCTAATTTTATAATTCTTTATAATTTATATTATTATTTATTCTGATCTCTATTTTATATAATTATTATATTATGATAATTATTTATTATTACTATTTTAATCTTTGTAATTATTTAGTACTTAATATATTATATTTCTTTTTTATATTTATATATTTGGATAATTCTTTACATTATTGAGCTAATAATTTAGAGTTAATAATTATAAGTAAATATTTTTTTGTGAATAATTGAACTAATATTTTTATTTTTATTATTATAAATTTATAATATGAAAAATATAATTAATATAATCAAAAGATTATTATAAAAGAAGTTTCTTTTAAGTAAAAAAACTGAATGTTCTAATTCAATAAAAGTGTCAACTTGTAAAATATATTTACTTATTAACAAATCTTTTTTCTTGATCAACTTTAAAACTTGTATACAAGTAGTAAAAGATCTTTATTATAAATAAGTCATATTCCAATTTTGAAATTATAATATCTTATTGATCATTAATAAGTCTTATTCTTTTGTATTAAAATACTTTTTGATATTTGTGAATATTAATTTGTTTTATAGATTATATTAATAAATTCTATTTGTTAATTAAAGTAATTAAAGTTTAAATTAGTATTTACTCAAAAATACTTTTATTTAAAAAGACTCTTATTTTTTATTAGTATTGATTTTTGTTAAAATTATTACAGAAGATCTTTAGAATCTTTAGAGAATTTCTCTTTAAATAAATTATTCAATTTAGCTTATAAATATTATATTATTATCTTTGAAAATATAACAATATTTTACTAAAAATAAAAAATTATATTAATATAATAATTGCAATTAGAAAATCAAAATCAGAAAAATAAAACACTAAAATAAAAGCTTATTTTATTTAATAAATTCTATTAATGAGCAAATTAAAGATATAAAAGATTTTAACTCTAAATCTTTATAAAAGATTCAAAGTTTATATAAAAATTAATTAATAGATAATATAAATTAATTTTAATAGATTAATAAGAAAATATTTTTATTGTAATTTTCATAATAAAATATAATATTAATACTTATAAAGATATATAGTTATTAGAATTATATATATTCTTGTATTTTCTTGTATCATGTTCATTATTTTTCATGTTATATTTATTATTTTTTTGTATAACATGTTAGAAATAATACAAATTTACATTTAATACTTCTTAATATTTCACCAAATAGATTAGATATAAAATATAGATTATATTATGAATTTAAATACACTTTATTTTTAATTACTTTTCTTTTTATTTGTTTTTTTCTTTTTTATTTATTATTTTAAATTTATATTAATTATCTTTTATTATTATTTATATTTTATATATATCTCATTAAGTACAGTATAACTTGGAGATGTGTTACCTTTAAGAATAATAATCATTTTCTATTTTATTATTAATTTATTTGTAATTCATTAAACTTTAATTATGTATTTAAATATCTCTGTAAGAATACTTTCTTATGTGAAAAGTAATAAGATAAATTTATTAATTGTTGTAAATAAATTATATTAATTGAGATAGTTTTCAGTTTTAATTTTAATAAAGCTTATTTCTTTATTTATTAAATAG